ATATAATAAACCACACCATAAAAGTGGCCCCAATGTAAAAGGCAATGTCCCGCATCAGTGGCCGCTGCATCACCTCAAACTGACCCGTCAACAGCACACTACCCACCACTACTGTTGTCACAAATATACCGGCGCCTATAATCAGATGTTTTGCACATGTTTAGTTTAAGTTATAAATTCAATTGTACAATAAACTTATACCTAAAAGGCCTGAAAATATAAGTTGTGGTTTGCTTTGCGTTACGCCACTGATGGACGAGAATATATCGGGCGCTCCGTTTCCAAAGGCTAGAAAAGTGACGCCCTGTCCCACACAAACACACAGTATTACAGTTAATTCATTTGCTTTTTAAATTAATTAATGTTTAACTTACGGCTATGTTATCGGGAAGTCGTAATGTTTTGGATATTGTGAGCAAAGCTGGACATAAACTATTTGGAAAATTAACTTTAATTATATAAATTTTAATAAATATGTTAAACACATACAACTCGTCGGCGACGACACCCATCGATAGGAATAGGAATAATAGTATACCAAAGAGTACGACGAGAGAGACGGCCCGATATTGATCGCCGAAATCGCAATATACCATTCGTGTGAAGTCATAGATAATGCCGTCGTAACCGCAGTCCGCAATGTTTTGTGTAAAATTGCATTTCGCGGTCGATGTGTTCAATGTGTTTACTAATAGACACTATTAACGAAAGAAATTACCATGTTAATTCATATCACATCAATATTGCAATCGATGAGGACTGTTATCTATAACATTAGCTAATAGTCGGATAATTAGTTTTGTCAAACAAAAGGGTTGTTAAATAAACTTATATATATTGTGTAACAGATAGTTATAACTAAATTGCAAAAGTATTATGAAATTTAAATAATTAAACAATATTTCTGATAAAATAAACTCAAATTACTTATGAATGGGAAATTGAAGCAAGATAAGTTTATACTTACTTTAAGTTGACTCGGCTCATCCATTATAAGCTCAATTATTGAAGACATGGTGACAATAAGGGCTCCTTTTATGCCTTTATTTGACAATTAAAAACAATTATAACTTTTGGTAATAAAAATAAAACAATTTAATAAATCAACAAAAATCTGTTTATTGAAGTCGTGTTTGTTATCAAATGCATCCACACTTTGATTTACACGATATATCACTTTAACTGTTCATTACATGCAATAAATTAAAAATTTTCTTTAAAAAATAAGTTTTAGATAATATTTATATATAAGTTATTTTGTCTCAATTTTCAATGAGATAGAGTTAATCTAATAGACGACTTAATTAAAATAACATAATACTAGTTATAATCAGTCATAAATCCAAACCAAACTAAGAGCTCGTCTTACTTTCAAATCGATATCAATAAATTCAAACAAGGATGTTTGCATAACATCCTGTTAGTCATTCAATAACAAAATGTGAAAAAATTAATTTCTAAATTCTAAACATTTTTGAACAAGATCATATTTCATCATCAAACTACTGATGTGATTATCTCGAAAACTATATGAGATAATTAAAAAATTCTTTCACAGCCCGAACAAGTGTTTGAATAGCAATTAAAAATACAATTAAATATTATTGTGACTAATGAATAATGAATGACAAACAATCATTAAAAGTTTTAAACAGTTATTAAAGTACTTTATTAACAAAAACTCAATATGAAAGTGGGGTTAAATTTGAAGCTTTATTNTTTTTTGACAATATGTGAATTTTTATAAAAATGGAAAGTAAAACATATTTAGAACACATTTGAGCAATAAAAAATTTTTAAAAAATAAATATTAAAATTTTAAAAATTTGACCTAGGATAATAATTTTTATATATTTCATCTTTGTTTTATATGCTATCATCATGATAAAAATTAAATTAAAATTTGATTGATTTTTTCGATGTTAAGACAACTTCTTTGACGTCAATTAAAACATTATACAAAGCTTTTAATACAAGCATATAATGAGAATGTAATGAAACAAATGTTTGTCGAAAAGGATTTTATAGTTTATATATAAGAGGTTCAGTAAATCAGATAACGTAAACATTTCAATAACACAATAGTTTCTAAAGTGTATCTAATTTTAAAGATATAATAACTATATAATTATATTTTATATATTGATAAAATGGATAAACACTCAATAAAATACATTAACAATCAATATGTGCTCGTTTATCTGACCATAAACCACAAGGTGCAATTAATTTCTTATTAAATTATAACACTTTTCATAATTATTTAATTTATCTAGATTTAATTTTAGCCAATTTAGTAGAAAGTAAAGTTATTGAACATAATTTACTTGAATAAACAATAACAATGATTTCAATAGCAATGATATATAAATATTGATTAAGAAGTGCAATAATTATCAGCAAAAATAAACTTTATATTAATGTAAATTATAACAAAATTATAACTAAATACTAGTAAAATCCAGTAATTCATATCAAAACTAATTTGTAAACTTTAAATAATAGGAAATTAAATCAAGTTCTTATATCTATTAAGCATATTATTGTTATTGAAAATTATATAATTATAATCAAAATCAATGTTTGTTTTGAGAAAATTCATGTGAAAAGCAATTATATTTTGTTTTTGATATAACAAAGGATACCGTTATCGATATGAAGAAGCGCTAAAATGCAATATTTGTTTTAACCGGAATTCTTTTAATTGTTTATTTAATACCCGATAAGTATATTATAATTAATTATAGAATATTATAAAAATTTTTAAAATAATTATCAAATATTAGAGTTTAGGGGTTTATTAATAATATAATTTAATTGAATCTCGATTTAGACAAGTATTAATTAAGAGATAAGTGTTTTAGTGAATGAATATTGTTTAACAATTATACGAAATATTGATATTAATATCTCAGATTAATTAATTCTAAATAAATTTGAGTATTGGAGCACCTATATCCTTTTGGAAATTTTTATAAATAATTTGTTCTTGCATAAAAAGTACAAATGTTATTTGTAAAAATCTATTATGTGGCTAAACCTATAATGCAAATTATGTAAATGTTTTTAGTAACATTAATCTATTAAACGTACAAGTACAAGTACAATCAACGGATCTAGGTAAATGAGGTTATAATTAATATAGTTTCTAAAATGTACTTTTAAAATAATTATATACACGAGTCGTATGATTTAAAATATAGCTAAAATAGCATTAATATGTTTGATAAAATACAAAAAATATTAAGTTAATTTCTTGTTAGTTAGTATATGATAGTGAAATTCGTCAATTATTTACCGGGAGACTAAAATAAATGCAACTGGATTAAAACCTAATTGTGTACTTTTAATTATAAAATTAAAATGTCAATGTTCAAAACACGATTGCATGCATTTATGATACGGTAGCGATTCACGTGTGATTTTTACACGTGTTGTTTAAATTATGCATTAATTGAGTTTCATTACTATGTCAGTGTCTGTATTAACATTTCCATATCTAATCAATTCACATAACTTTGAATATAAATGTTTGTAAATCTATTTATTATATAATCATTAATTAAAAACATTTTAGATATAGTTTTGAAATATAGATTGTTTTTATAAGTAACCGATAAATAATTGCTAGTAATGCACAAAATACTTAAATTATAAAACAGAAAATTATAAGATGATCAATATTCGTGCTGACAATTAATGTTTATTATAAAATCAATTTAAACTAATAACTAAATTGATAGTTAATCCCTAAATATTAATTAAATGGATTATGATGTTTTGTATTTATTACTACCTAAAATTATTAAACTCTACTGTAGTGTACTTTCTTTTGTTTTGTGGTCTGAATTTCAGATTTAAAATATTAATAGAAATCACTAACTATTAGTTTCATTAATGAAATAGTATTAAATTTATATGGTTTTGCTATAATATTATGTAATCAAAGCCTTTAATGACAACTTGTTAAAAGGAATTATAATGTATATGCTATTATAGATTTGTGAGTACAATCTATTTATCAAATAAATACTAGCTTAATAAATACATTATTATGCAATTAATACATGCAATATAAAAATTTATAATTGTCTTAATAATTAAAATGTTAAAATTAAAAGCTTTGATAATTATTAAAATAATTGAATATACAATTTTACATTGTATAAATTTACAAGTATACTATACAGTACATCAAATATCTATGTTATTACAGTAACTGTATATCAGGTAGTACTTATTCATCAAGGTAAATAGAAATACAAGTGATTTGCTCTAGTGGTTAATTGTAGCCCTTATTTATAGACATTATTTCATAGAATTAACAAGTAGAAATACCCATTTAAATGTAACATTATTATCTTGTGTTAAATTGTGGTCATTTAATTAAGTTGAGATCCCATACTATTCGGGAATACTTAAAGGAGTTATTAGACGTGGGTTGAAAATGGGGTGGTTAGGATTCGGGCAGCATAAATAATTAATCAATATGTTATCTAATTACGTAGGTGTTAATTATTAAGATTATTAATTATATTTGTATTATGATAGAATAAACAAGATATCTATAGCTAGAGCTAGAGATACGTATAGCTCAAATTAAAAAATCTACAAAACAATTATATGAACAATATAAATAAATTATGATTATTATTTAAATAACAATAAAAATATCAATAGTAAAACATTTAATACTCACAGAAATTGTAACAATAATCACAACTTAACTTTATATTACAATTATTAAGAATATTTATGCCTTATTAAAAAAAAGTTGACTATAATATAAGAACTACAATATTATAATGAAGTGCACAATATTTATATACCTGTAATATAATCATATCGTAAGTGACTTTGAACAAGTACACTTTACAGTGTCGACCGCCCTTAAAATCATCAATTCATTTACGCATTCAAATTATCTGTTGCTTAACTAAAACCAAACTTTTTTGTTGAACGAGTTTGAATGACAATTGTTGTTAATTAGCCCCGCCCATTAATTATGCTCACAATTTGAGTTCACTATTTAATAAGTGAATTTTGTTGCTTCAATCAAATGAAAATTTAACCATATTGATTTAGTAACTTTGCAATGTATTATTATTTTTCAGTCGTTTATTTACTTGAAAAAAATTAAAAATAATATTTATTAATCATTTAAATACATTTGAAGCACATTTTTAAATGAATTAATCAACAAAATTCTTGTGCAGAATCTTTGATGAAAATTAATTTTCATGCTTTTATAAAATTATTTTCACATATTTTATAAATTTTTATAACAATTTTATAAATTATTAAACACATTTATAATTCTCACTACATTTACATTTGTACTTTAATTTTTTTAAAATTATTACATCGTTGTGTTTGACTTCTGTCTGGAAAAACAATTAATTAATAAAAATGATTTTTGCCAATTGTCTGGTATTATATAAATTTTGATGAATTCCACTTCTATTGCAGTTTATTTCACTGCAAATAAGTATAGATTACACTCACTTGAAGATCTGGAGGCAGAACTTTTGCACATCATTTTGACAGACCATTGATTGTAATTTTTAACTACAATTCAACGCAAAATATGTTGTTTATATGATCACATCCTTTTAGTTCCCAACAAAATATTTTCTAACAAGATGTACAGTAGCTAACTCATATAGTCATCTCATTTCAAACCTTGTTATATGTGTTTTAGCCCTTTGCTACCTCACATTTATTACTAAAATTATTTACCTGAATATCATGTCATTATAATTACCTGTTATTAATAGGTCTTGTGATGTAGAAAACAGGCAAATAATTGTGAGATTCTTAATGCAAACAAAATATTAAAAACATATTATATAACAAAGTCGGCGATAAATGAGGCACAGAATGAGTGTCAGTATAATATAGAAAGTACTGACAGCCCCGGCGACGATGAAAAGCATCCAAAACACTT